CCTGCGGGGATAGTTCACCCACGCACTGACCAGTCGCCCCACACACACACAGGGCCCACATGGGGCTACAAAGTGGGAGAGGACGGACAACCCAAAGGATGACTTTCCTAGCTGAGGGAAGCTGATCTTTCTGGACAACAGCTTCCCAAAAGTCCCCAAACCTAGGATCTGCAGGGCTCCATGGAGCAGAGACACTCTGAGCCCGCACAGGAGCACAGCGGTGAGGATCTGGCGGCCCCTCTGATGGACAATGGCGCAGTCAGTGAGCTGGGCAAAGGAAGAAGTGTTTACAGAGGTGCACAGACACGGAGGGGGTTAAATGAAGAACTCAGGTTACAAAACAGTGCCTGGGCTGACGCTATTGTGAATCACTGGCATGGCATTTAGAAATCGCGCCTGAAATGCACCAATAGTGAGCGCCTCGTCTCTGGATAGTGAATGGGGGTAATTTCTCCTACTTTCTTTTTCATAGTCTGCGTTTTCAAACAATACGATATAAGCATAGATTTATTGATAAGAAGAAAAGAGAAAAACTCACTCCATCGAATCAGGTCCCTGTGACAGGCCCAACAACACCCGATTCCGTCAACGGAGGAAGGAGTGCAGCTCCCAGGAAAGGTCCCCGTCTGTCAGGAACTGGAATCCCACTGAGGGCTCAGGCAGTAGCCTGAGGGCAGGAAGGCTGTCCAGATCCTGGTTTAGGAGAGGACTCAGATGTCCTGTAGAGAGGTCTGGGCTAGGCATCCCGATGCCAGCCCCCGGCTCTAATGCCTGTGTTTCCCAGAGGCCCAGGGGCTTCAGAGGACGTCAAAGCTAATCTGACTGGGAATAGAGCTACCCTCTCACCCAGCACACTGTGGGGAGTCTGGACGTGATTCCGCTGCTTTACAGAGCCTGGGCTCACCTTCTGTAGCTGTGGCTCCCCTGTGTCTGCAGACGGTGCACCTGACACAGCCACATCTCAGGATGATGAACACGACCCTCTGTGCTCCCAGACACTGAGCCCTGGGTGAGCCAACAGAAGCCCTGGGGTTCCCTGGAGTGGGTGGCTGTGACTGTGCTGACCCCAGCACCCTCCTGCCCTTTCTTGAATGTGAAGCTTGGATTTTCCTGTGGGAAACCAGCCCTCCACCCCTCCCCTGCATGCAGGCTGGGTGGGGCTGCCTGGCCCACCCCAGCCACAGCTCAGCACACAGCCAAGCACTGCCCCACAGAGTTCCTCTTGCAGGAATCTGAACCTGTGCAGAGAGATGCCCATTATTCTTTGCTGGTCCCTGCAAAGGGTTCTAGGGGCTGCTGTCCAGACCTCGGGCTAGATCACATGAGCGCCATCCTAGCTGTGCAAGGCATCCATGGCCTCCCAACCAATTCCATTCCCTACAAATTTCCTGAAATTAATTTATTTATCTACCTATTTATTTATTGAGACAGAGTCTCACTCTGTCACCCAGGCTAGAGTGCCGTGGCATCAGCCTAGCTGGCAGCAACATCAAACTCCTGAGCTCAAGTGATCCTCCTGCCTTGGCCACGCAAAGTTTACAGGTGTGAGCCACCACACCAGGCCACCTGACGTTAACTTAAAAGTGCAAGGGTGCAGAGCAGTGTCCTGAAGCCCCTGTCCCTGGATGCACTGGGGACGGTGATGAGAGAACTTGAAGGAGGAGCAGCAGAAGTGGTGGTGGCAGAACAGAGGGGCGAGGCCAGCACTGGCCAGGAGAACCCCCGAGACTGCCAGGCAGGGTGATTTCCACAGAACATGCTTCCTTCTTCCAGAGCCCTGGAAGTGAGTGGCTTTCACATCACAAAGTTATTCACAGAAACGTGGAGTTTAAAACGGGGACTCTGATAATCACAGGGAAGTTGCAGGGTTGGCTGCAAGCATACCCTCAACCCACCCACCAGTCTGGGAGCCGCCCTCTCCTGGTGTCCCCCATCCCACCCTTCCCTGGTCCCTCTCAGTTCTTTCCAGGACTCTTGTGCATCCGTCCCACTGGCTGTCTGCTTGGTGTTGTGACACCAGGCTCACGCTGCTCACCCTAGACCAGGCACTCAGCTGTGCAGTCCCATAGAAGACTGCCTGTCACCCAGACTGGCACGTGGATGGCCCAGCCCCACCAACCGCCAGACTGCAGCACAGGGGCCACCTCCTGCTCCTGCCACCAGCTTAGGAAACAGAGTGAAAAATCCACCAGTGGGAATCATCCTTTGTCACATCAGGGCCTTAGATATTCAACTGTTTTTATAACTATCCGTCAACAAACTCATACTGAGTATCTGCTGTGGGGTGAATGTGTGTCTCCCCAAAACTCATATATTGAAATCTAAGGCCCAATGTGATGGTATTAGGAGGTGATTAGCAGGTGGTGAAGGTGCAGCTCTACAGAATGAGATCGGCGCCCTTATAAAAGAGAGCCTGGAGAGCTTCCTCCAGTCCACCAGCCCACTGTCTCAAGAACATGAGAAGGGAGCAGTCTGCCACCAGGACAGGCCTTGCCAGGTCCCGGCTGCCCACACTAGCCCCTCCACCCCATCTTGGACTCGCTGCCTCCAGAACTGTGACGGGTAGATGGATTGTTGTTTCAGCCACCTGGGCTGTGATGTTCTTTTATAGCAGCCTGAACGATGGGGACAGTCTCCAAGGAAAGAAGCACCTCCCTCTGTATCTTTGGAGGGAGACAATTCCCATGGTCCAGAGTATTTAATGCTGTGTTCTGCTTTCTTACGTTCTGTGACTATCTGACTGGCTCTACAGGCAAGTCCTCTGTAATGTAAGCATCTGTGAACACACATGCTCATCTATACTTCTGCATGTCCTCTACAAACTTACACGCTAAAGGGTGATAGAAACTCATCTGTCTTTTTGATTAGGTTTTTTCCACATCAAACCAATGTGGAACCTAACTCTCTGGAGTTACCTGGCGCTGAGCACCTGGGGATCTTCCCCGGCCATGAGGTGGCAGGTGACAGGCCAGCCAGGAGCCGACCTGGGGACAGGAGGTACGTGTCCAGGGAGGAGGTGGGTGCAGAACTGCCCTCAGCACAGTTTCTCCTACCAGGTGAAACTACCCCCCTACTGGGGGTCCTCCATGTTCACCCCCAGATTTTCCATGGCTCCCCTCCATGGTGTACTACACAGGCCACTCACTCTGTGACGTATGGTTTTAGAAACCCCCAGGCTCTAGCCAGGTGTTGTGGTGGGCACCTGTAGTCCTGCTATGCAAGAGGCTGAAGCAAGAGAATTGCCTAAGCCCAGGAGTTGGAGGTTGCTGTGAGCTGTGATGCCACAGTACTCTATTGAGGGTGACAAAGTGAGACTCTGCCTCTACCAAAATAAAAAAATTAGAAACCCACAGGCTCTCCTCTTCCTCAGCAAGCAGAGAACCTCCCACCACCACAAGGGCACCTGTCCACCACTTCACACACCCAGCTTCCGGGCCACATCTCGGGTCTACGGCAGACTCCGAGAACAGCTTCATCATCTCATCTCATCACATCATCTGCACGCCAGCTCCCCCCGGGTACACGTCTTCTTTAATCCAATCCCCTTTCCAGACCTGGCATCTGGGAGTCTGAGTCAGCTGTCCGGCTCTCCAGATCTGCCCTATTGACCATGCTGCTCTGGGTACTTATTTGCCCACTTCTCCCCAAGCCATTCCCTTACATTCTCAGTTCCAGTGGAAAACGGCACAGAGACATCAACAGCAAATAGTTATGGCGTGTTCACAGACAGCACCGGAGAAAGGACTCTGCGATCAAGTTTGATAACCCCTTCTTTGGGTAACATAAAAAGGGGTCATTCTCCCAGACTTAGGACTCCAATGTGTGCTGTGGACCTTTTAAGACACAATGTACAGGTTTTCCAAAAGTTTCCAGCTCTAATTCTTTTCATATGCTGGTCGTTTTGAAGGACTGTGGCTGTGTTCATTCACACCAGGAAGGAACCTTCTGTTCACTCTCCACACAAAGGTTTTGCCCTTGCCTAACGCCTCGCCCACTGACCACAGCCCTCACATCCTGCTCCTCTGTGGGTCTCCACTTCTGGTCCAGGTATTTGGGCTCCCAACAAGTCCACGGTGCCCCAAGTGGCATGCTTTTCCCTGGCACAAGCAGAGAGGTACCCTGTGCCACCCTGGGACCACCATCCCTGTCCCCTCTCCATGACCACAGCCTTCCTGGCCTCGAGTCCCTGGAAGGTTGGCAATCCACAAAGCTAGGACCCTGGAGCTGTGACTCCACTACACCTGATTTTAGTTATTCTACATTAGATGTAACTAATTTCACTAAAAGTGTTTTAATTTCTCTCCCAAATCAAATCTGATTCTCAGGCAAGGGCTGTGGAGGAGTAAAGAGGAACCTTACAGGCCAGAAATGAGCCTTGACTCCCATCTCCAAAATCAGCCTCCACTTGTTTCTCACAAGGACCCCAGCAGGTGGCTGTCCCTGCCTGCCTTTTCCTCCTCACACTTCCATCTGTGACCCAAACTGTATACTCTGGGGGTGAACAGAGGACATATTTGAGTGAAAAGAATGCACAAAAATAGAATTAAAATGACAGCCATAAAACAGGGATGCCCTGGTGACAAGCAAACAGGAAAGAAACCAAAATGTCTGCTGTCCAAGGGGCTGCGCCTTGGCACGAGTGGCCAGGAGCGGCACTCGGGACTCCCTTGTGCAGCCAGGAAGGGAGGGGCGGGGCAGGCCCAGCAGTGCACACACACATGTGCACACACACGTCAGACAAACAAGCTCTAGAGGGAACACCACTGGCCGGCCACCCACCTATCACAGATTCATAAAGAGCCATGACCCAAACTCACATCTGATTCTCATGAACACCCTCAAAACTCACAGCCCTGTCACACCGGTGTGGGCTGGACCTCTGAGAATACGAGGATTTTCGTCCTCTGAGCAGCTGCAGAACAGGTCTGGTCTGTGACCGGGCTGCCTTCCCCACGGCCTCTTCCTCCTTGGTGGCTCTGCACACGAGACCCTGCACTCACCTTCTCCATCTGCACTGAGGTTCTCATACGAGTCCCAGCGGATCAACGGGTCAGCCGTGTTATAGTCCACAATCACTCCGTGGTTGCCATGCAAATGTTCAGACCCTGCACGGGGCACAGGCAGCAGCGTTAGCCCAGGGGAGGCCCAGAACTTCTGTCCACCTGACTGTACCACGAGGGCGGAGAGCAGCCTGACATGGTGGCACGGCTGAGCCAGTCAACTCCCCACCCACAATCCATGCACTAGTAAGAGAGTGTGGATAATGTGCCACACAACAAATGCAGTGGGAGCCCCTCAGGGTCAAGGCATGGTCAGCACCAGCCTGTGGCCCACTGTGTACCGGGATCAGACCCTGAGTCCTACTTCCACAGGACGGGAGCCAGCAGGTCACCTCAGACATGAGGACACAGGGGCTGCAAGGCATCCCTCAGCCCCAGAGCCCGCAGAGTTGAGGCCAGGCTCGGGCTCCCAGGTACATGGGCCTCCCTTCCGTCTTTCTAAGGAAGCCAAGAGGACTTTCAACACGGAGTCTCGCACTTAAAGGTTCTCACCTAAATCCACACTAATGTAAGTAAAAGGTGGCTATTTTCCATAGCTATTAAGAATGGAAATAAAACTTCATGTGGACTCTGGTGATGGATCTGAGCAGTTCACTTTAAAAATAAACCAACTGACTTCCCTTTTTAAGTGCGTTTTTAGAAGGAAGGAGAATTTTGTTTTGTACATAAAACGTGGTTGTTTGTTGAGTAGAAGTGGCAGGTGTACACTCGGGGACACCAGCGAGGCAGCCCTGCCTCCTAGATGTTCCCGGCCCTCCTCTCCTACAGGGCTTACTGACCCAAACAGGCCTTCCTGTTGCCAAGCCACCTCTTCTCCACTATCCAGAATCATAGGTTTTAAGAAAATTAATCACAAAATTTTCCAAATACACGCAAATATGGGAGACTAGACAGCAACCCCAGCATAGCTCCTGGACCGTCCACCCAGGATCAACATGGACCACCCCCTCCTCTGCCAAGCCACCCACCTTGAACCTTCTCAGGCGTGGAAGAGAAGACTAACTCAACCTTCCCGTAGTCAGGGAAACGGTCATCTGGAAGAAAAACAGGAAAAAAACAAAAACATGAATTTCAACACATTTGGAGATGATTTGGACTGATTCTGTCTTTACCTTCCAACCCGTCCAGCTCCATTGCCAAGTGTGTGGAAAAGCACCCAACAGTACAGAAAGTGCAGGCGGTTGGTTATTTCTCTATACTTTTTTTTCTTCCGCAGATAAATCAGCACTTTTCCAGATTTGGTAACAGTTCTATCAATAGGCTGAACATTGGGGAGGGGGGAGGGGGGACAGTGA